CATTCCGATGGACTTATCCGATCAATTACTTTTTGCTCATCCTCTTTGCTTCTGTCCAGATTCCCCAAAAAAAAAAGAAAAAAAATGAAGCTTCCTCTACTTGCAACCATTATCACCATCTACCTCATCTTCCAGTACCATCTTAGATTTATAGTCAGCAGTAACTCTGTTTCCCCATATCGCCCCTTGGATGATTTCGCCCTTAACTGCGGCTCTACTGGCAACTCATTTGCTTTTGATGGCCGGGAATGGATTGGAGATATCACCAATTCTAAATTTACTTCATCACAAGTACTCAAAGGCAAATCAACGAGCTCAAAAACCATCCACCAATCACTTTTCGTTGACCTTGTTCCCTACATGACTGCTAGGATCTCTCGTTCTCAATTCACTTACACATTTCAATTAAGACCGGGTCAGAAATTCATTCGCCTGCACTTTCTTCCAGCTTCATACCATGGCTTCGATAGATCAAAAGCCCTTTTCACTGTTAAAGCTGGTCCTTACACCCTTCTTGACAACTTCAGCGCTTCCCTTGCTGCTGATGCTCTGGGTGTAAAATATTTTGCTAAAGAATTTTGCGTCAACATTGAACAAAATCAAGTTTTTAGCATAACATTCTCTCCGTCTACAAGTAGTGCAACTGATGATGATGTTTATGCTTTTATCAATGGAATTGAGGTCGTCTCCATGCCCACTGGTCTTTATTACTCTCCCGATGATGATTTGGGTGCTCGTGTCGTTGGCAACAAGTTTCGATACTATATTGATAACAGCACTGCACTAGAGATGGTTTACCGCTTAAATGTTGGAGGGAGATCCATTTTGTCAGCCGAAGAAGATTTGGATATGTACCGTGTTTGGTCCGAGGACAAGAATTACTTGTTACAATCAGGTGTATTATCAGTTACCAGTACCACAAAGGCTGTGATCAAGTATGCTAACATACCCACCTACACTGCACCAATGAAAGTATATAGAACATCTTGGTCAATGGGTCAAAACAAAGTAGCAGATCAGATGCATAATTTAACATGGAAATTACCTGTGGATTTGGGATTCAGGTACCTGGTTAGGCTCCATTTCTGTGAGGTTGAATCCACGACCACTGAGAGCGGCAGCCCAAGGGAGTTTTCTATCTTCATAAACAATCAGATTGCTGAGACTAATGCAGATGTAGTGAAGTGGAGTGGTGGGTACGGGGTTGCACTATACAGGGACTATGTGGTGAAAATAGAAGGAAACAAATTCGAGGGCAAGCATAATCTCATTGTAGCTTTGCAGCCCCAGCATGACTCAGATGCTGATCCAATCCTAAACGGTATAGAAACATTTAAGTTGGCCAACCCGGACAACATTCTTGCCGGTCCCAACCCCGCGCCAACAGCACATTCTTTCCGGTCCCAACCCCTGCATGGAAAATTGGTTTTAGCTTTTGGAAGCCACAATGTAATTACAACAGGTGTGATACTAATACTCACCCTCTTGAATATCATAGTTTACCAGTTAAATACTTGGGGATCAAACTCTGGAGAAAAGAACTTATCATCATCAACACTGTCAAAGGAGGGAGTGTGCAGACGTTTCTCATTTGCAGAGATCCAGTTAGCGACCAATAACTTTGGTGATGAATTCATCATAGGGAAAGGCGGATTTGGTAATGTGTACAAAGGGCTTATCGATAATGGAACCAAGACTGTTGCCATAAAGCGGTTGAAATCGGAGTCCAAACAAGGGTTTGTTGAGTTCTGGATGGAGATTGAGACCCTTTCGACAATCCGGCACGATCATCTCGTCTCTTTGATAGGCTACTATGAAGACTCCCAGGAGATGCTCCTAGTCTATGAATATATGGACAATGGGAGTCTTGCTGATCATCTCTACCAAGCTAGAAGAAAGGGTGATGTCAATTCTCCTCTCTCTTGGGAACAACGGCTCATCATCTGCATTGGTGCCGCACGTGGATTGGCCTACCTTCATACCAGTAGGGACGCCCATCATGGAGTCATACACCGCGACGTGAAAAGCTCAAACATACTGTTGGATAAAAATTGGGAAGCTAAGATTTCTGACTTTGGGTTGTCTAAAATGGACAATGCAGGCCAGTCACAAACCCACATTAGCACTGCCGTTAAAGGTACATTTGGGTACTTTGATCCAGAGTATTTCTTCACTTGTAGGCTGACAAAGAAATCCGACGTGTACGCCTTTGGTGTGGTATTGTTTGAAGTGCTTTGTGGGAGGCCGGCGGTTGATGTAAGACTTGAAGAGGAGCAACATAGTCTAGCACAATGGGCCAAACATTGCATCAGAGAGGGAACACTTGATCGAATAGTTGATCCCAGCGTGAGGGAGCAAATATCACCTCCTTGCTTGAAGGTGTTTGCCGAAATTGCCACCAAATGCTTGCACAATAATCCAAATGAACGGCTTACAATGGCTGGAGTGGTGGCTGGCCTGGAGTATTCATTCTCAGTGGCAAGTGGTGGGGATGAGGTATATCCAACTGGGCAGATCTTGCCCACCCACAATTTGAGAATCTTCACATTTGCAGAATTGAAAGCCGCAACTAGAAATTTCGGAGCTGATACAGTGTTGGGAGAAGGATGTTTCGGGAAAGTTTACAAGGGTCGGCTTGATGAGAGGGCGACATCTAAGAACGGAAGTGGAATGGTCATTGCTGTCAAGAAGTTGAGTTCAGATAGCATGCAAGGATTTGAAGAGTGGAAGGTAGTTCAACTGTACTCAGTCTGTCATTTTACTTATTTGATCTTGGGTGCTTTTAATTTGCCTTTCATAGCTCAATACGGAATACTTGTCATGTATTCAATCTCAGAATCATAGACTAGAATTTAATTATTTCTTCTTTTCATGTATGCCTAAATTTTCTAGATTTAGCTCTTCTCTATTGTCCACATTCTTATAATATTATTGTAGTATGAGAAGTGAAACTATTCCTCATATTTCTAGATTTCCTAAGTGGAATTTATAGAAGTTCTTCTAAATGCTGTCATGTATTTGTTTTTTCGTTTATTTCTGCAGTCTGAAGTGAATTTCCTAGGAAGGCTTTCTCATCCTAACCTTATTAAGTTGCTGGGATACTGTCGGGAGGGTGAAGAGCTGCTCCTTGTCTATGAATTCATGCAAAAGGGTAACTTGGACAACCACCTTTTTAGAAGTAAGTCTGTGTGTGTGCGTGTGTGAATTAATGCAAATGTGCTAACATACTAGTCAGTTGAATTCATTTAATTGGTTCACTCTACACCAAATGCTTTGACTAGTGCAGGGGGATCAGATGTTCAGTCACTTCCATGGGGCATACGGCTTAAGATTTTAGTGGGAGCAGCTCGGGGCCTGGAATTCTTACACACGGCAGGAAAACAAGTAATTTATAGGGACTTCAAGACAGCGAATATATTGCTTGATGCGGTAAGTTATGTGCAATCAACAGATTAGTACCACATGATATATAATAAAGGATTATGAACCCCTAAACTGATTCTAACATTTTCTTCATTTGTTGTTTTTTGCAGTCCTATAATGCCAAGTTAGCAGACTTTGGTCTGGCAAAATTAGGCCCCTCTGAGAGTAATTCCCATGTGACAACACGAATTATGGGCACATATGGCTATGCTGCTCCTGAGTATATTACGACAGGTAACCCCCCTGAACCTTTTTGAGCTTCATCTTTTCTAAGACTAAAGTTGATCAGAATCGAAGTTCTGCCCTTTGCATGATCTAAAGCCACTTGAGCTTGGCCATAACTAAATAAATGGTGTCATATTACTGACATCATGCTTATTTAACAGGACATCTGTATGTAAAGAGCGACGTGTATGGTTTTGGCGTTGTATTGGTTGAAATGCTAACAGGCTTGCGGGCACTTGACCCAAAACGTCCAACTGGGCAACATAGTCTGGTTGACTGGATTAAACCACGATTATGTAACAGAAGGAAGTTGAAGGGCGTAATGGACTCCCGGTTTGAAGGGAAATATCCTTCCAGAGCTGCTACACAAATGGCTCAACTTGCTCTAAGATGTCTTCATCGTGACCCCAAAGAAAGGCCATCAATGAAAGAAGTTGTGGAGAATCTAGAACTGATTGAAGCAATTAATGAAAAACCAAAGATCTAGCCTAGCAACCTTTGTACCATCGTTCCCAAGAGTAAGATAAAAATCAAGCCTAGCAACACTGATCACCACTAGAGTGATGACTTTGATACTACACTTCCTATGAAGAGCTCTTTGCATAGATGTTTTTGTTGGTTGTTTCTTACATTTAACTACCCTATTTCCTCTATTATTCAATGCCTCCATGTATGTAATGAATTTTGTTCTTGTAGTGGTGATTTGTGTTAAGCATTTGAAACTTTTAGCACTAAAACTTTAGTTATTTCTGTAGTTTGTTGAGACATCGTTGTTTATGCTTGGGGGAATTTATTTGTAGTGACAATTAGGAGTCCTAATGATTGTGGTGATGATGAAGGTCCTTATATTGCTTAAATCAAGAGTTGGACTTGACTTCAAGGTAGGATTATTCCTGAGACTCTTCCATCTGAGCAACCTTGACAGATAGTCATTTTTCTTTGTTTTAATTTTCTTTCCATGATTCTTTTTTTGTGTTAACTTATATTGACCAAATTGATCCAAAATATAGCAAGTAGATGAAAATAGGCACACCAATGAGCTCTCTAAAAAGACCTCTCATATTTTGAGATTGTCAAAAGTTGCTAGAATGAAAATAAGGCACTCCAATGGGCTCTCAAAACATGGAATGATAATTGTGTCAAAAAATAGCATTTTGAATGAAATGCATCATTGGAGCATAATTGCAAAAATGTAGAATTTTGACACTGTAACACCTCTCAAAATATCGATTTGGCATGGAAATATAGCATTTTACATTGGAGATGCTCTAACTGAAAAACTTGAATGGGCTCAAGAAAAATTGGGAAGAGCAGAGGAGATGAGGAAAGAACTGAGGAAAACAATTTCTGACCTATGCTCCGAGTTAGCCAAGAGCTAGTTGAAGACCTCTCCTACTGTCACAAAAATCTCTTTGCCGAAGCTGAAGCAAAACTGCAGTACACGGTTGACTCACCCTCTATTTATCCCCCATTGATACAAAACCCATGCTTGATGTAGGTGCATCTTCATCTTTTCCGGCCACGGTTGCCGCCCCTGAAGTTTATCCAGCAGCTCAGGTAAACCCAATTTCCAATTCAAATTTTGGTTCTCAGAAAGATACAGGCTGTAAATTGATGAAGTTGAAATCTAGAGGACTTCACAATGAGAGCTTTAAAAAACAGCACAAACCAATACACTAAAATGAAAAACATTGCTACAGGATTCATAATTCTTTACTTTACTTGCTGAAAATTCATAATAAATAATGAGAACGTTCAACGATGAAACACTAAACATTTTTTATACAGACCAGAAGAGAATCACATTATATTTGACAAATGCTAGAAAGTAAGTTGAGGTTGAAAACTTTCTGTCGATACATCGAGACAATCATACAACTGCAAGTTTCCTCTAAGCTCTCAGCTGGAAAATACAAAACAAAACAAGCACGATAAACTGTTACCGACGCAAACAACATAGTCAATTAAGTCCAGATTTACTAAAACCATAACTGCAAACAGTTTGGTAACAGCATGTATGTCTGCGTGAGTTATGAGTGATCTTACACTGTTAGGTTATCTGATATATTTGCTCTGGTAAGAACAATATGAATCATTATCTGTATTGAGAAGGTGAGAAGTATAAGACAATCCTAAAATCTGAACATAACGCACCTATAACATAAATGTGAGTACATGATGGTGCTTAAGGGAGAGATCCATACCAACAGCACTGTAGATCAAGGATTAAGTTAAAGATGGAAAATTGAGAAAGTGAAATATTTTATAGTTCAACCCAAAAAACAAAAGAACAAATGTCAAAAGCTTGCCCTGATGTTCAAAGTAGTATACCTGGTTTTTTTTGTATATAAAAATAATTATTATAATAATAATTAAATAAATAAAATTATAAAAAATAATTCTTATAACTGCCTTGAATACTAAACAATTAAACATATTAAAGAGTACTGTTGAAAATAAGAGATTTAGAAGCTTCTATGCAAACAGACTTGTAAAGATGTTTTAATAGAATCAAATATAAAATTATTTGCAGATATTCGTATAAGACATCTAAAGCCTCAGTGGGAGTTTAATTCTAGGGTTTATCTTCTTTCAATTCCATTTTTGCTGGGCTTAATTCAGAGGGAGACAGAAAACAATTAATATCACATATTTACAGGAAAACAAATCACAAAAAGACGAACAGAGTTTTATTGAAGTGGATAAAATGCATTGATGCAATGGCTTAAATTAATGAACAAAGCAGAGAGTTGGTATTTTTCAAAGATTAGGTAATTTAGTCACTGGCTTGAAAATAAACTTTTATAACTTAGGAAATGGTTAGTCTTTAAATGAGGTTGTTTGGAAATTGTATGCTGATGACTTTTCGACTACTTGTAAGCTCTAAGGCAAAAAATATGATTTAACAATAAGATAACCTAACAAACGTAACATAAATGGATAAAATAACATGAAAAAATTAAGAAAAAGTAATTACATTAAAGCATTAAAAAAAAAAGAAATATCACCTAAACCAGATGTGTAACCAGATGGAAGATGTTATTTTAGATAGCCCAATTTTATTTAGCTGGTTGTACATTTGCAATAAGATAGTGATGCTTTATGTTAATTTTTAGTTGTCAAATCTTTCTTTAATTACTTTACAGAATTTCTACTCCTATTCCCACTAAATTAAATTTCAAAGAGTTATTGCAAACCAACTGATATAAAAGCACTCAACAAAACAATACTAAAATAAAAGCAAGGGAATTAATTATGGAAAAAAAAAAAAAAGGCAAGGGAATGAGGGGAGACGGAATTTGTGCAGCATGCATACAGCATAACAAAATCAAATGAAAAGGCATTAATATTTAAATAAAATTCATGTCTTTTCTCTTTTGCCTTATGATAAGAATATGCAGTAAAGAAGACAAACTAAAAACCAAATAGAAGATCTTTTAGCATTCTTTTGAAATTGGAGACACAAGGTTTTTCGTCTTCTTTAAGCTAATGTACATGCATAGTGAAGTGTTCAACTAGAGACAAGGGGTATTCCACATCTTGTAACGTTGAGGATATTTTTCACATCACACACTATTTACTATGCATGTACTTTCACGCTCTAAAGGATTGCAATTAGAATACATTAGAATATTAGGTTTTGGGTTGAAAGAATGGGAATATAAGCATTGTAGCCAATCAAGCATAAAAATTCTCATTATATTCTATCCTTTATAAATGCGAGTTCATTGTCAACAATGTTGACCCTATGTTGAGCATAATCATCCATTAAAGTCAGTCCTAGATTGAGCTTAATCATCCATTTAGAAATATTTCTCCTACCATTTAAGAATTTGGGTCAACTATATGTCGCACAATTTGAATGTAGACATTATTTTACTCCACCTATCTCTTATTTACAAGATGTGCCATATACAATTTATTAGGTAAGATCATCTAAAGGATCAAGTAGAGCAAAAAGGCTAAGGTGTGAAAAAAGGGGAAGGAAGAAGTTGAGAGAAAATGGAAGGCGAGCAAAGCGAGGCAGGCAACAAAAACTAAGAGGGCAACAATGTAAAACCAAGCAGCAGAAACTATGATTGCAACTGGGCTATTTAAAGGACAAAGACAAACTGGGCTATAGAAAATAACAGCCAGCAGGAAACAATATTCCAACAGAAACAAAAATGCAAGACAACACTATTCTTCCACCAGCAGGCATATTTTCTAAATGCAAACAAACATAAAGCATCAATTTCAAAACATCAGAATTTCAGCCAAGATCATAATCATGGATATTCCATACAAGCTTGAGCCAAATATTAGAACGGGCAAGTTTAAACTCCATCCAGTCTAGGTAGTCTAAATCTAACAGCATTGAAAATTGCAGCTTGCAAATAAAACATGCATAAACACGTAAAAATTATATTTATATCATTCATAAACGTATAAATTCACATATATAATATTAAACAATTACCTCTGAAAACAAGTACGACTAAGTTCTTCTAACAAACTTGGCAGGCCATGCAAATATTCCTCCCTTAGCTTCTTAAAGCTAAATGTAGTGTCTAACATACTTGCGGTCTTGCAAAAGCTAGCAAAAACAAAAAAAATTTAACATATTCGAATTATTGTAATTCTGTTTTTTGTTATACAGTCCTATATTTTCACTTCCAGAATTATACCATATGTGTTTAGCTAAAATAAAGAGGAAAAAAAAAAAAGGCAGAAAAATAATAAGAGATGAATATGAACAAACAAGCAAAAAAAAGTACGTAGTAAATGACTAATAGAAGAACTTAATTCAAAAACGTGAGGAACAAAAACCAAATGCAAATTTGGGACCCATTTTCATCCATTACGCAGAGAATCTGTTCACCTTTAAAATTTGCCAAAAAAATTTAATGCTGCAAAAGGGTATAAGGACTCCATTCAAACAAACAATGGCCCATTAACTAAGGAATACCACTATATAGCAATGCTTTATATTATACCAGCACTGTACAATAATAAAAATAAAAATAAAAAAACTACTAGTTGAATCTGCACTCAGAATTCAATTAGAGCTAAACTATATAGAGTGTTTATGCAGTCTAAAGTCTATTTGACTATGGCCTTTCCTACAATAGGTAACAGAGTTGCAAGTAAAAACTACTAGTTGTGATATTTTAAGTGATGTTATATATTAAAGAGGAAAAATAAAATAAAAAGGGAGAGAAGAATTTTATTACTAGATCAAGCCCAAAAAGGGAGACAACCTAAACTTCCACTCTCTATCAAAAATAGGACCTAAATCATGCTTTCAGGGGTTTGCTTATATGCTTTGTGCTAGTTTATCTCACAAAAAATTTTTCAAAGATTAGGTTAATGATTGCAATTTTGAATTTCTGTGAACTGTAATACTGAGATGAAAAACCCCTTGTCCGTGAGAAAGAGGGAAGACCATGAGAAATAGAAAAGATGAGGCTCTTACCGGTGGTGACGACGATCGTAGGTCGGCGTGGTGAGAGAAATGAGCGTGAATTGCAGACATAGTAGAGGTTTGGTTGGAATTAGGGCTTGAGTGGTTTTTTTATTTTTTTATTTTTTTGGGGTACTGGTGCGAAATTTTAAAATAACCTCAAAAAATTCGAAGATTAGGTTAATGATTGCAATTTTGAATTTCTGTGAACTGTAATACTGAGATGAATTAGGATAAAACACAAAAAAAAGAAAAAAAATCGTCCAGAACTATTGATCAACAAGCAACAAATTCCCCGAAATTACAAAACTTGCAAAAAAAAAATAATTTACACAGGCTTTTCCTCTCTTACTTCTAAAAATATCATGCACAGACTTCCTTATGTGTGACGGGCAGTTAAATACATTAACTGATTTATCAAAATTATTAAAATACCCTCCTATTATTATCTTAAATTACTAAAATACCCATAAATTTTTTATAAAACTGACGTCATATATATATATATATATATAGATTTTTTTTTTCAATTCATGTACTTTCCCAGAACTCGCTGGAGAACGAAGAGGTCGAAACTAAATCCATTAACGGCGGTCACGGATTTGCTCGCGAAATCAAAGAACATGCTGTTAGTATTGCTGAATTGAAGGCAAAAATAGCTGGACGGACTATTGACTATAGTTCCGATCTCGGGGCGGGATCCTGTCAACACAGCTTCATGCTGGTGGAATTTGCGGGCTACTTCGTTTCATAGTGCCCTGTCCTGAAATGCAGAAAGGAAGGTTTTTGTTCCTCTACCCAAAGTCTCAGTCGAGAGCGAAGTAGAGACTGTTATGGCAGTCCGTGTTCCTTCGTTCGTGTCTTGTTACGATCTCTCTAGGTAAAATACAGGATTATGTCCAGGACAATGTATATAATATATATATATACACACACACATATTTATATTTCTAAAAATTAATGTTTCTCCATATATAAAAATTGTGAATCTCCATATCTAAAATACACACATATTTATATTTCTAAAAATTGATGGGTCTCCATAAATAAAAATTGTGAATCTCCATATCTAAAATACACATATTTATATTTCTAAAAAGTGATGGGTCTCCATATATAAAAATTGTGAATCTCCACATCTAAAAATTGATGGGTTTCATCTGGATTTGTAGTGCAATAAAAATAGAAGAAACAAAAGTACCAGCCAGAGGCTACACTTTTTCCCCAATCTACCATCCAACAAATCCCAATCTACCATCCGTGAATGAAGATGACGACTCTAGTGCAACCAAAATAGCTCCTTATAGGATATTATGGCGATGAATTGGTGGTGATGGTTAGCTGCACAAGCCTGTTGGTGAAGTTCAACTCAAGGTTCGTATTGAAATTCCTTCAGTGAGCTCTGTGTAATGGTTATATTGGTAGGGATGAAGGATTTTGGTTTTTTTTTTTTACTTTTTAGGGTTAAAAATGTCTTTGGCTACAAAGAAGGGTAATATGGGAATTTTAACTTATTCCATACATGACATCAGCAAAATAAGTCGTTGACTGACGTCGACTCTAACGGAATGGAGATTCGTGTAAGATATTTTTCAAAGGAGGTCCGCGTAATTTCCTGCCTATAATTATAGCAAACCATAAAGGAGGTCAGTATAAATTACCCAAAAAAAAAACCATGGACTATCATGTTTGTTACAGATCACCCCATCTGACGGGCTTTCAATCAAAACTTACCGGCAAAGGACCATGTGGTTGTCATGTGACAAGCAATGTATAATTTAATGACTAAAATGCCCTTATGTGTGGGAAAAGCCTCTAATGCCCCTTATTGTAATGATTATTATTACTCAAACACCTTTTCACTATTTGTTACCGTCAAACGCTCCTTTAGGCCATTCTGTATATATACGTGTGTGTGTGTGTGTGTGTGTGTGTGTGTGTGTGTGTGTGTATATATCTTCACTGTTCATCTTCTTCACAGCACATCTTCATTTTCATCTTCTTCACAAGGCATGTACTTCTCCTAAATATTATACCCAAACACCTCCTAATCCAGTTTTCCCCAAAAAAACCCAAATTTCTGTTATAGTCTCTTCCTGATCAATGTACTCAAACAATTATTTCCCAAAATTTCATAACTTATATATATATATAGAGAGAGAGAGAGAGAGATTTCTTCCCCAAAAATCTATAACATACTTTATATGTATAAAATTTTGTAACCCTAAGTGACTGTTAAAGCCCAATTTCACAATTTCATAATTCTTAAACTATAGAACCCTAGCCCATTTTGACAAAATCCCAAAATTAAATTCCCAAATCAAGACTATATCAAGCACGAAAGGTATACCAACGACAACAATGAAGAAGGATAGGCATCGGGGTGATTGGGGTTCAAGAAAAGAATATATATCTGTGTGTATGTGTGCATATATGCATGAAGTAGCGGTAAAGATAATGGCAGAAGTTGGTTGGTGGGTTGGGTTTGTGGGGTTAAATCGATTAGGTTACTGTTCGCTATGAATTATTTGAGTTTCTAAAGAGAAGATTTCGTTGGTAGGGTGGGGTGGGGTTGTAATGACCCGAATCCATAGGTCCGAAACCGCTAGTCGGGTCGTTACCCGAACCCGAGGTTACCTAAGTTAATGCCAGCAAGTCTATTGTCAGTACATCACTCTTACATCATAAATATGCCCTATGAAGGCCCTAAGCCACCTCCTAAGACTCAGGAATAGGTGCACCAAAAGAAGAAACAAGAAGCACCAACAGTAGTATTTCGGTCGACCGAAGTGGAGCTTCGGTCGTTCGAAATGGTTCCTATACCGGTCGACCGAAATGGTCATTCCGGTCGGTCAGTTATGACCCCAACAATAGATGAAGCTACTGGAATGATCGGTCAACCGAAATGCCCATTTTGGTCGACCGAAATGGCCCTGCAAGCTGCAAAACTTCAGTTGAACTGCAATGAACCTGGGAATGAACAAATGTCTTTTATGGAGCTTTACATTGAAAGAATTCTACCCAAACATATATGAAATTATTGAATACAACCTCTCAATACCCAAACACGTCATGATACATGATTCATTACATGAATTAACATCCATAATCAAGGTACTTGATGTAAAATAAAGTTACAGGCCATGAAACAAGATCAAAATATATAAAAGAACTGTGACTTACAATTGTTGTTACAACATTACACAACTACATTCGGTTAATCACTAAAGTACAAGTTTCATGGTTCCATACAAAAGATAGCAAAATGATAATCCCAGTCCCGTCTAGATTTATGGTGGATAGTTGTCCGCCACTTCTTTTTTCGATCCTAAAAAATGTTAAATAATGGGGTAAGCTAAACGCTTAGTATGAAGTATCTAAGACACACCTCTTATGACCCCGTGAATCCACGCAAAAGAATAGGTAAAAAGGACATCGGGATCGTACTATACCAGGGATTCAATCCATAACCACAACGTCAAATATACATATTGTAATGACCAGATCTTTTTCCTCCCTTTCCATTTTCGTTGATTTTCTTTTTTCGTCTTTTTCCTATTTTGTCTTTTCCTTATTTCGTCTTTTAGTCATTTTTCATTTTTCCTTGCATAACTTCACTTGTTGTGCTCGGATTTGATTCCGATTTGGCATGCATTCATGATATTTGATTTTCATAACATTGGTATTTTTACTTTTCTTGAAAAGCATGCTAGATTATTACTTTTCTTGTAAAGGGCATGAATGCATACTTTAGTGCAATTATTTATAACTTTTGGGGTTTTAGTGTAATTATGTAAAATAATTATTTTTCATTTTGGGGACCTTTTTGCAATTTATTTTAGAAGATATTTTGAAAAAGGACCATTTTGTAATTTTTTGAAAGTGTGACAAGTGTCACATTCTCATGGAGCCATTTGTTGGCATTTAGGTGAAAAGACTTGGCACCATGACTTCTTGACATTTGGTAGGTGGAGATTCATCCATGTGTTGGCCTTAGATTGGTGCACATGTAACCATTGATTGTTGACAAGTGTGGGTCTAGGATTAAGTCTTGGAAGGGGCATTGGATTAGTGACAAGTGTAGGTTCACCATTTAGTCTTGCATTGTGTGTGTGTGAGAGGTAGTGCAAGAACACATAGTGAGTGGAGGATTTCTAGCCCTTCCACTCACCATTTTTACACTTTACCTTCTTTATTTCATTATCTCTCATGAACCCTAGCAAAGACTCCATTAGAGAAAAGCTTAGTATAGAGCTTTGACTTCACATTTGGCACTCTTCCACTCACCCTAGACTTTTGACCTTAGAAGAGAAAAGATTCCTATCACTCTCCTCTTCAAGAATCCTAACCTTGTTTTCCATTTTGTGTTTGGTAGCTTAGATTATAAAGATTCAATTCTCTATTGAGGTAGGGGTGGTAGTATGTTTGTAATCTAAGTGTTTTATAGTCCTTGTGGTTTAATATATATTGTGTACATACTTTTGATATGATGGTATTGCATATTATAGGAAACTCTCACTTCTTGACTTAGGGTTTATTGATTTAAGCATGTATGATATGTGTAAACCATGTGTAGAAGGATTATATAATTTAGTAGATGCTAAATTCTAGTAAATTCACATGTGGTAGTAATATAGAATTCTAGTAGAATTATTAGTGTTATATGCAATTCTAATTGACTTGAATTGCTATATTTTTGTGATAATAATTCTATATTCTTATGAATTATAAATTGTGATTAATTTATGAGCCTATCGCTAAATGTTGATAATTAGTAAACAGAACTTGTTATTAAGGCATGACTTGAATTGATAAATTTGTGATATTGTATTGTGCATAATATCATGAGGTGAATTTGTCATTTGGCATGCCATTATAGATTTGGAACCCTAAGACATGGTTTGTAAAATGGTGTTTGGCTCCTATCAAAATGACAGCCTCATCGAGCTCTCCGACTTTGCCTAAGGTGGTACCAACAAATTCCCAAAGGCTAGGCTCTAATCAAGCCTTGAAAGCTTGAATAAAGGAAAAGAAAAGGAAAATGTAGAGGGAGAGAGATATAGCCGGGGATAGAAATAGAGAGAGAAAAATGAGGCTAAGAATGGCCTCTTGGCCACTAAAGGGTTAATGGTGGGTCCTACCACTAAAATACAAAAATATTTATCCTTTTCTTTTCTATATATATATATATGCAATTATTTTCAACCACACAATTTATTTAACTTACAACTAAACAATTATGCACAAAATAAATATGCATGAAGTGTAATGAACCTGTAACACAACTCCCGTACACAAA